GTACTCCTTAATTGCTTATTAGAAATAATGTAGAAATTTGAATAATTGTTAATTATGCCCTTTACAAAATTTACTTCGCATCGAAGATAATCATGGTAAATAAAGGGGAAAAAATTGTTATTGTACTTAATGTCAGACAGCACCATGTTATTATTATGCTCTTATATATTTTTGTTATTTGCTTCGAATAAATTATATCAGGTATCAGCAGACTAAAATAATTTTAACCTTTGCCCATTATTCTTCATTTCTCATTTTTCATGCGTTAAGTTAAGTTATGTAACTTTGTAATTTCATGTCATATAATTGAATTAGACTTTCTTTGAAACGTAAAATTCCTATCTAGAAGTTGTAAAGCGTTGTGGTTAGATTGGCAAATTGATTTCTCTCTGCACAGGCGAGGTCATAAATAAGAAATACGCACTTATAGTCTTGAAGCTTGATCGTCATTACCATTTTCTAAAGTTTGCTAAACGCATATATCTGTTGAGAAGGATGGTAAATCATTACCGTTTTAAAAATAATTACGTTATCATCAGAACTTATCATCTGAAGCTAAATGTTATTAATAGTTTAAAATAAAGGTTTCAATACCCCATTCTGGGGCAAGCTCACTATGTAGTACAATAGAAATTAAAGACATTTTTAAATATTTAAGATTTCCGCTATTCTAGTAATACAATGTTCTTAAAATTTGATTGCAGCCATTTATAAGAAATTTGAATATGTTAATAAATGCATACGCATATAAATATTACAAGAATACGGAAAAACATAGAAGTTTGATTTTCGAGGCAAAAACGATTTAATTGGAAATTAGCGAAAACAATTGAAATCAACTGTTTAGCCTTAATTCTATTTGAAATAGGCTTCAATCAACGAAAATGATAAAACGCAATGACTAAAATCAAAATATCTGTCTAAAAAGTTTAGTAGATAATTAAATTATCATTCTTAAGGTTTTCATATCGGAATTTCAGATATGCTGATAATTAGCTGACATTTAAGTGAGGCAGTTATTACAAGTAAAGATCTTTCTAAATCTATATGGAGTACAATAAATTGTTTTTATTGCAAAGTATTTACTCTAGTAATAGAGTATTTTAACTTTATATTAAAAGTAATTATGATTCATTTGTATATGGTAATAAAATACCATAATTTGTGGTTTTCAAGGCGGATATATGCTTTAATTGAAATTAATGAAACAAGTTAAAGCAGACTCCGTAGTTAAATAAAAATCATAAGACATATGAAAGAAAAAGTATATGGATATGCTAAAAGGAATTTGTACGTAATGCTATGTTGCGATTACGGTAATAACCTTGAATTTTTTAGCTAAAAATTTGAGAAATTGTAAATTTCCTTATGATCATTTATCTAAAGCTGATCTATAATAGGTTTATTTAATTGCAAGGTATTTATTTTACTTTTGTGGAAAGAACATTTGAAGTCTAAAGTGTAAATATTTTTATTAAATTCGATTATGGTAATAAGACACTTCAAGATTTGCGACTTTTACGGTAGGAGATTTAATTAAAGTAGTGAAACAAATCACACCAGATTTTCTCTCTTAATTCTTATTAGCAGATATTATGATGTTTTCTACAAATCACAAAATACGGAAACAAAGAAGTTGCTTAAAATATTCAACTAGGTAGGGCAATTGATTGCTTTAAACATTTAGGCTTGAAATTCATGAAGCTGAGTTTGGACGAGAAAACGATCACATGCAAAGACCTATTTGAATATAGTAGATTATTTTATTAAAGATTCTTTACTTTACTCTAATAAGGCAGTATTTCAATTTTAAATTAATAGTGGCGGCGCAAATAATTTTAGTTCCAGTAATATAGTATTCTCTACTTTAGACTGGAAGCGTGTATACGAATTTAGATTATAATAATAAAATAGATAGGGAAATTTCTGGTTATTAAAGACTATTTCAACTATAAATTAAGAATAGATCTACAAATTTTTTAAATTTTAGTAATACATTATTCTCAGCTTTAGAGTAATAGCGTATTTAAAAATTTCGAATATAGTAATGAAACAGGGAAGAAAATTATTGCTTATCGGATGAGGTGGCTTAATTGAAGATAAGGATCCATACTAGAGGAGATCTCTGTGAATTAATTTTAAAGTATATCTTAGTTGAATGATTGGAAAAGCTAGTAGGAAAATACGTTATTCAATGAGGAATATACAATCTAATTAAAATATATTTCAAAAGAAATTGCTGTATCGAACATCGAATAAATAATATCAGCTGATGTACGATACTAGAGTTCATATTGTAATCAAAGAGGATAAGAATTTACCTTTACAATTCTTAATCGAATTATTCGTTGTTATGCATTGAAAATATATTCAGTTTTATAACTTTCCTCCATTGTTAATTGTACTTCTTGAATTATAGGTAATAGAATGCTCTACAAGTTAAATCAACGAATAGAAGTCTTTGCAATATATCATTAAGTTACTATAAATTATAGTAATTTATACCAAGCTAATAATATATTACGGCTTCCGTGTTATAGAATACGGTATTCAACTTTAATCATATTTAGGATTACTGTTAGTAATCCATTTAATTTTAATTATTATGCAAACATAACATTCCAACAATGCTCATATTTCGACTTCTTCTCGTATTGTCGGTATTACAATGCAAAAAATGTCGATTGTAGGATCATGAGTTTCTTAATTATTATTAGAAGATACAAATCCAGTTATTCAATATTTCTTATCTGCTCGCCGCGATTCGCTTACTACGCTTATTATCTTATTTTAAGAGCTGAGTAAATAATCTCTGCACATGTTATGTTATTTACCTTCAGGCTATTCAAATTTATTTCTATTTAAGTAATTCATGGAATAATTAAGTTCTGCTCTCACAATTATGCTTGCCAGATCAGATAGAATGCATCAATAAAATGCGGAATTTCAGTTAATTTAAAGTATGTGATATATACCAATCACGAAATTCCAAATTTTAGAAAAATAAGGGCTTTATTGAATCTTATACAAAGATTAACTACACACAGCTTTGCTTTAGCCGAATACTACTGCTAAAGACTTCTAGAACGAACTAACAGAATAATCTAAAGTTGCATGCTTTTATACTTTTCGTAGCATTCGCAGCTACAATCCGCATGGCAACCTTTTACCTTATTTTACACATAGTTAAATTATTCTTGGTAAGACTATTCTGCTGCGGACCATCATTAATCCAATATGGATACGACTACAGTACTTACGTAGACATTATTCACACCAGCCAAAGTACAATGAATTAACCATATCCTAATATACGATTTACAGTTCTATTTTTACCTATAGCCTTATTAGTAACTCAACAGCTTACTGTATATAGTCATCTGTATTCTAGCATAGAGTCTCTACCACTACAGTCTATAGTTATAGCTACCAAATATCTCTTACGATAAATATCTACCGTACATTATACTCCATATGGCTAACAGTCTACAATCACAATACTAAGTTACATTACAAAGTATAATTAGCAACGTGATTTATGCCACCAACAATGCTTATTAAAAACTCAATAGTATTTGTTCCTGCTCTTATTTAATGTATCAATGATCAATTAAAAATTGAAATATTTTTACGGTACATTAATTTTTTAAATTACTAATAAAGATTAGTGAAGTGACACGTTCCTACGCTTAAAATTGAAAAAGGTTATTGCTTAAAGTAATTTTAAGGCAATAAATTTTCATTTTAGGTTATGGCTATTTTAATAATCCATAATCATCTAATGAATATGAAAAGCAGTCAAATATTATGTTTAGAAGTTCAATTATTCTCAACTACAAAGTCAAATCAGTTAAAATACGATAGTCTAATGAACATAAGGCTATTAAACTATTATTATCGTGACTAAACCGTAATTTTAGCCTGCCACATCTTATTACTAGTTGAAATAATACGAATGCTGTAAATAGCTTCAAGACATTAATCAAATGGAGTTAAACTATCAATTCTATAAAGAATAAGATAAAGAATCATTACTCTAAGCGGCTTTAATGAAGTTTAGAATTTTATACTTCTTAATCGGTTGACATTGCCTCATTATCTTTCGATATATACTTTTGTACTACAGTTGAATTTAAATCAGCTGTTGCAGTTGTATTTAAATCAGCAAATTCTGTTGTAGTTGAATTTGCAACTATGCCTGCGGCTGTATTAGAAACTATGATCGTATTTGAATTGGCAGCTGCAGTGGAATTGACAGTGTCGATCTGACCATTATCACTGTTTGTATAGACGCTAGGTACAACAGCTGAATTTTTGATGAAATTGAAACAGCAAGAAAAGTACAATTGTCGGATATGCTTATTGAAAATGCAATAAATGATTGGATTATAAATCGCAGTAAATGGTACCACAAATCGACTGATTCGTACAATTCCTCCAGCTATTGGATAGTTAGGATCCACCACTATCTTAGCTGGTAATGATCTTGTTATTGCCATGATAGCCAGTGATATAGCCCATGGTGTAGAAAAGGCTAAAAATATAATCGTTGTTGTTAACAACATATAGATAGTTCTCCGTTTTAACTTTTTGCTTTTGCTAGAGTCAGTTTGTCCCTGGACTGTTTTCCTTAATCGATGCAATATTAATGAATATAATGTAATAATGACTACGGTCGGTAGAGCAAACTGGAAGATAAATATTACAACAAAAATGATGGCGGTCCAATTAGTAAATTTTTCAAAGGCAACACATTGTTTTGGTATTACGTTCGTGACAGATGTTGTGATAATAAATGGGAAAGAAATAGATAAAGAAATAATCCATGCTATGAGGCATAGGAAATTAGCTTTTTTACGGGTTAATTCAGAAGTAGGCCGAAAAATTGCAAGATATCGCTCATTACTGATCATAATTAATGTTTGTATAGACGCACTGTAAGATAAATACAGTGGAAATATTGCAAAAATTTTGCAGAGTGCAAGATAGATATTTAATGGTATTCTAAACCTTGCTTCAAGCGAGTTGACGATAACATTAGATAGACTTCCTAGGCTCAATATCATATCAGAAACTGCTAGGTTGGCAAGCAGGCAATATGTTGGCTTTTTGAAAGATTTCTTAGTATAGAAACCTATAACAAGTATTATATTAGGAATAATTCCCATGCATCCAGCTATGGTTAATAAGAGTTGTATCGGGTTGGCTGGTCTCTGTCTGATATTATCTGTAGCATTGCTGAAATTTCGGCAATTGTTGCCAATGCACGATGCTAATTTACTTGCATTCATGGTAGAAGATGAAATTTTTTTGATTAGGCCAAATATGTATATTGTTTAGAACTTAAAATTAAAGATTAAGTTTTGCAATAATGAGAATTAATATTTACCTACACAATCTTATTTCAATATTAATTAAATCTTACACTGAAAACGACTTTGCCTATACCTTTAAAGAAAACAAATTTTTAGGAGGAAATTTTCATTAAGAGTTGTGACTGTCTGTTATGGTATCTTTCTATCTTGTCCACATTGACAGCTAGTATTAATTAAAATCAAATATCCGCCTTCTGATAGAAATTCAAATGAGATGATGGAAACTTGAATGTTGTCTAGGTATATATTGATATAGTGAATTTATTTTTTTAATACAACAATAGCATAAGTGCTAAAATTATATTCATATAATTAAGTTTGTCAAGTACTACAAGAATATAATAATTATCATTCTCGTAAATTCTAAATTAAGTAAAGATTCATCCTTAGCATAAAGAATTTAATGAATAGCAATGACAATATTGACATAAAAGGCATTTTATTAAAATCTCTTATAACTGGACACTTACCTTATTATTTTGAAATTGCACTGTTTAGATTGTTTAGTACTGAAAAATTTGGTAAGATACAGAAATGCGCAAGATCTTCCTATTTTGCATGAAAAATTAAAGGTTACATACTCTAAGTTCATTTTTCTAGCAATGAGGCAATTGATCATTCGATCCTAGTCTGTCAACTCATCGGAGTTGCAGTTAGTATATTCCAGTTACTGACATTTGTAAGCAATTATAATTGTTTGAGAAGTCTAAGCACCATTGTGTGCGCTGTTTGATTTAGTTACGTTTATTAGTGAGATTCATCGTGATCTATATTGTTTCAGTTAGACCGTAAGGTCAAATAATATTCAACGTCGTTTTGGATCATTTACTTGGTATCAAATAAAGAGTAACCTAGAACTAACAAATATCGGCCAGGTATTGATTATTTGTATGGAAGTAGTCCAATCAGTACATTAGTCGGAGTACCTCGAGAACTTCCCGCATCTGCGGATGAAATAGTTCACAAGCAATATCTTAAAAATACTGAACGGTCACAGCATATCATCTAATATTTAATTGTACTCGATATACAGGCCTTAGAGTAATAGAAATCTTAAGAGCGCTATTTTATTTTATTGCCTGTGAAAAATAGTGCTACGAAAGGAGTTATAAATTAATGTAATTATAATGAGCTTATAAATATTCGTTATGCCTAGGTATTGCCTTTTACTTTAAAAGTCTCGAGTAGGAAATGAACAAATAGTTTAAGCATTAAATTACGTCTGAATTCCTAGATTACTTACTTAGACTTATAAAGCAATTTTTTTAATCGTAAAAAAAGCAAGATTCTTTTTCATGTTATCTTTCGAAGCGATGTCTACTATAGAATAGCATTTCCAATAAATGTTTAGTTTATGACACTGTTATGATGTTACCTCACTGTTCGAATATCTTTAGTCATAGCTATTATAGCAATATCCTCAACTGCAATACTTGATTTAATAGTCAATGCTTTATTAGTATTGTTATTTAAAATCAATTGTTACATAATTCTTGTCGATTCTTATGCTTAGCTAATAATAAGATGATTAAAACTAATTGTCTGTATTCTCAAAGAAGTTCAAACCAAGTAATGAAAAATCGTACCTAAAATAAGCATATATTAAAATAGTGAAGTTACTTTCTTGATATAATAATCGAGTAAATTTTAAAACTATGAATATTTCAGTTAAAGCGTAAAGTATTCTAACATTCTGATATTTCTAATTTTTTAAATTCTGAATAAGGTGAAGGTTGAACCACATGTCAGGTTGCAATATCTACTTTATCAAGAACACTTTTCTTATACTAGTAGAACACACAAAGACTTAGCATCATCGTATTTTACGTAAAACACTAATCTTAAGAACTAAACTTGTTATACGATACACCGCATTTTATGTACTCTTTTACAATAGTTTAGATATCCTAGTTAGTAATGTTAACGTTGAAAGCTTCTAATGAATCAAAAGCTAATTTTACCTACCTCTACCTAATGAAGACAAAAGTATTTGCGAACATAGACATCTAATGACTAATACAAAATAGTCAAATTACAACATGTCCTATCACGCAATAGTTCCACGATAATCTACAATCTACTGTAACATAAGTAAGTTACAATTATAGTGATTTGAATTGTAAGAAGATTATTCTCGATTTCCTAAATTATCCTAACATGCAATAGATATTTCTGCTCCAATCTCAATGTTATAGTGTATACCACTGTAACGGTATCTTTCAAGTTAATAGCTACCGATGAATCGCAGCTCAAATAAATATTTCACTTTTGACTTCTCTTAAGGTTATCGGTATCTTAATTCAGTTAAGACATGGATCAGATAAAATGGCTACGTAGCGGGTTGAACCAATAGATGGGCAAATCTTCATATTAAAGCAAAGAATCAAAACAATCTCATAAATTGATGGCAATGTTCAAACGATAATAGGACGAATGTCACAAGTTTTAACGCATCGTAGCTAGCAGTAAATGTCAAATACCTTTTTTTCTCTGACTTATAAACCACCTTTACTATTAAATAGTATCAATCAAGATTTGCAACTATAGTAAAATAACTAGTCCGAGGTCCTATGTACTCTTCAAGTATTTACCGTTTGTATAACTCATCATTACTCATAACTTCTGTAATTAGCTGAAATCTTTACAGACTTATGACTTGAATGTGGTAGATGATATTATCGTATTTTACTAAGACAAGATTAAAAATTGTTTACGGCAAGTCAAATTATTGCATCTATGTTCTCCTTTATCACGGTACTATTTAACATATAAGAAAGATAACAGATATTGATCGAGTTTAAACAAGTTTATTAACTGTTGTAACGTGAAAGTTAAACGATGCAATATTTCTATAATTTACGCATCGTAATTTTTAATTTATGAACCTGTTACAATGGGAATGCATGATATGAATCGCTAAAATTGTAGGAAATCTGCTACATAATTACTAAGCACTACTGTAAAGAACATAAGAAAAAAATGACCCGCGCTATTATCCCGTAATGTTAGCTTAGAATTGAAAAAGAATACTAAATAGCAAATAACGCTTAAACTATAATTTAATTAAAATAACAAATAAGTACACGAAATACTTGAAACTTGAAACTTATTGAAGTTATTTTATTCTACTTTCGTGTTATTTTGATAAGATTGAATTATAAGCTAAACAATTAATAGCGCGATTAATTAGATATCCGTGAGTTTTAATGAAGAATTAGTAGTACGAATAAGTACTAAGAAATGGACTAATAACTGAATAAGAGTCGAATTGCAGTAATAAATTTTCAAATGAGAGTTAATTTTGTTAGATTATATAGCAGTACCGTATACTAAGGAAGAAAGATAAAGATAATAGAATAGTCATTTTAGTTGTAGATTTAACTAACGTATTATATTAGCTCTGTTAGCTCAATCATTAGGTGCTACACCTAGTACGAATACTGGAGCGTATGTCCTTGAAGACTAGACACGATTAGAAGATTAAGATCCGGTTAAAACCCAAAGCAATGAAACTTTAGTGCAAACACTGGTCTTTGCTGCTGAGTCTTTATACGTTTACTTTCCCTATTTCTAGCAATGCGGGTGTTTCATGATTAATCCAAGGCTAATTGCTCTACTGATATTATATTTGGCACTAAATCCGCAACTTTATAACCTATAGATAATACGTAGATCGGCTTCGACTGAGTTTGATTTTTATCCGACTTTATTCATTACCGAATTCGAAATATCATCCTTGATACGATTTTGATCCGGTGTTGCAGATAAATCTGGAACATTGATATGGCAGTTGTCACTTCTTGATTGAGAACTGGGTGAAATGGAAGCTTTTTTAAAAATTTAAAACAGCAAGAAATGTACAGCTGTCGTATATGCTTATTGAAAATGCAATAAACTATTGGATTGTAAACTGTAGTAAATAGCAAAATGTATCTACGGGATTATACAATTTTCGCAGCAAAAGGCTGCTTGGGATCTTTTGATATATCAGATCCTAATGTTCCAGTTATTGTTATAATAGCCAACGATAATGCCCATGGTGTAGAAATAAAAAAAATAAAGTCGTTGTGGTTAGTAACATGTAGATAGTTTTGCGCTTCAACTTTTTACTACTGCTCGACTCTGAATGTCCTTGGACAGCTTCGCTTAATCGACGCAATATCAACGACTATAATGTGGTGATTATGACAGCTGGTAGAACAAAGTGACCGACAAATAGTATAACATAAATGATGCTTGTCCAACTTGTATAGCTTTTAAAGGCAATACATCGCGTGAATAGTCTTCCAGTAGTAATAGACGTTGTAATAATAAATGGGAAGCTAATACATAGGGAAATGATCCACGCTATGAGGCATAATATTATAGCTTTTCTACGAGTTAATTCAGAATTAGGTCGAAAAATTGCAAGATATCGCTCACTGCTGATCATAGTTAATGTTTGTATTGAAGCAGTATAAGATAAGTGGACTGGGAATACTGAAAAAAGCTTACAAATCACTAGAAAGATATTTGCTGGTATTCTTGCTCTTGATGCTAGCGAAATGATAGCAAAATTAGATAGACTTGCTAGGCCTAATAACACGTCGCAAATTGCTAGATTGGCAAGTAGGCAATATGTCGGTTTATGGAAAGATCTTTTAGTATAGAAACCTATAAGAAGTATTGTATTAAGAATAATTCCTACGATTCCGGTTACGATTACTAAAAGGTTTAAAGAAGAAAATGTTTGTGGTCTGATAATAGCTGTAGCATTGCCAAAATTTCGGCAGTTGTTGGCAAAGCACGGTATAGAATAGTTTGTATTCATAGTCAATAAAGTTTGAAGAATTTTGGACTTGATCTAATAAATGTTATATAGCTAAAAAATTAAAGATTTCAGATTTAAGAAAGGATAAATTTAGTATATATTTCAT